CTCTTTTATCGGGAAAGTTTTTGGCCAACCGATTCAACCCATGACTCTTTTTTGTGACATTTTTAGTGGAGTGATCTCAACCGCCCATTTCAAATGAACGGTTGAAAAAGAAGGGGACGATAGTTTTTTTAAGGATGTATGGGAAGCATAAAAACCTTTTCTCTCATTATTATTATTATTATTATTATTTTATTTTTTTTTTTTTTTTTTTTTTTTTTTTTCTTGGATGGATCACTTATTTATATATCTTTAAAATAAATGTTTTGTACCTTGGGGATCACAAATATAGAAATGTAGTACGGCCATATGAAACAATTTTCCTTTCGGACGTAGAAATGTCTGACACATGGTCCATGTGCGACATGCTTAGATTTGATGCAGCAACAAAACTGAGATGGGACATTTATCGAGCTAGGAGTAATTTTCAACGAAAGTGCATTTTAAAGATAGCACTTGCTATGATTCTTCAATCACTATTCTTTCAAAAATTATCAAAACAAAGGGGTAAATCTACTATTTTTGTTAGGAAAAAGTTTATATAAGAATAAAGCCTTAAACAATCAAATTAAGGTGCACTTCAAAAATTCAGTAGAAGGGAAGGTTTCGATGTTGAACAACCTTCAATTTGATGATTTCGACTCAAGATAAATGGACATAGAAAAAATAGAATTTAAGTTTTGAAAACAATGCATCCTGTAACATGTTATTTTGACTGTCAATTTTCAATATTTTCAAGCATTCATAAATGTTCTCAATCTACTCTATTTTTCAATTTTTAAATTTTATAATTAAATATGAAAATAATTTATCAGGCCATCATAAAGATATATGATACTAAAACAACATATTTTAGTACTATTTGAAGGTGCACCTTACTTTGATTGTTTAGGGCTTCTGCCTTATACAAACCAAACTTTGTTATCCGTAGTACAGAAGGCCCTCTATCGGGTGACATGTAATCTTTATGAAAAATATTTTGATAGGGCTGCAGCCCTATAAAAATAAATAAAGCCTCACCTCATAACTCATCCAATGTTGCAATTCAAGCATTGAAAACCCTTTAACTCGATCATCTTGGCTTGAACACTATGGTTGTGAAAAAAAATTAAGACCTGAAGCTATAAAAATAGTGTATATTGTAACAAATTATTTAGACCATATATTTCGCAATAAAAATAAGTATTCATAGATCCGCAAGATCTGTACTATTTTTTTAGTTTCAAATGTTATTGTCGGTATTGAAAATTTATTTTAGAGCCATCATAAAGATTTTCATTACCGAAAGTGCTTTCCAGACAGGATTTGGGGTGAGCCTTTATTTTGTTTTCATAAAGCCTAGGCCTTATAAAAACTTTTATCCAATCTTCATTTTTTTACCATATATTTTTGACAACGATGCGATTTATATAAGACATATGCACCGAACTTTGCGAACATGCAATTCCAACGTGAGAAACCTTATAATGACGTGAAAATCTATTCGCGTTCATAATTATCTATCTATTATATATTAAGCCAGAGGTCACCTTTATTATTTTGACGTGTCTTTTCAAATTCCCAATTTACGCTCTCGATTTTAATCTATTTTGTATCGATCATTTAATTTCTCCATAAATCTATCTTTTCATCTCTTTCCCCTATGGATGGGGATTCACACACTTATTTCAGGTGTGTGTCTCTCAAGTGGGATACGCATCTCTCACATCACCCAAAGATGATTCATCATTAATTAAACATACTATTCCATCGATAGAGTGGTAAAGATAGTCATAAAATTAACATTCCAAAAAAACAAAAAATATCACATATTACATATGTAAAAATCAAATCATATAATAAAAACATAAATGACTTGAATTAAATATGCATAAATACAATGATAATTTATACATAGAATAGAAACTTTGAATATTACATTAATTACGCAAATAAATAGAATAATATTTGAATATAGTAGAAATATGACAAACCTATAAGTTTAATTGGATATTATATCCATATGAGTATAAACATGTACTCAATATTAAAAATATAATTATCTATACATGACCTATTTTCTTATTTTGGGATTTTTTTGTTGATATCATAAATGTAGTATGTGCATATGTAGAATTAATAATTCTATTAAGAATGAAGTTGGAATCATGGTGCCCCAACTAAAATCTAGGCTTCCATTCTCACCTAGCACATTAAAAAACCACTAACGATTTCAAAAACGGGTAGGGGCTCGTCATCCCCACTGAATTACCCAAAAAAAAAAAGAAAAGAATAATAACTCTACTTAAAGCATTTAAAAAATATTTAAATTATTATAATTAATTAGTTTCTATAGCTGAGTAATAGTAATTGTTACAATGTTAAAATTTGTGATACATATAAATCTTATTAATTATATTAATAATATAATTTAAATAAATATTATAATAATCACAAAAATAATTAAACTGCTAGTTAAATATTATGATTATCTTATAATTATGTAACTATTTATTAATAGTAAAATTATCTATATTTTATTTATGAAATTTATTAATTTATATTAATTAATTTAGTTTACAATTAATAAATATTTATGTAATTGAAGTATAATCATAATAATATCTCTCAGGTACTTAATTTGTTTTATTAAATTTTATATGGTATTTTCAAATATCCTATAAATAATTTGCTCAATTTGCTAATCTTATATATAATATTTAATTGCATAGTATATATAGAGAGAGTCATGGTCATATTTATAATTTAATATATTATCTCTTAATATTTGTAGCAATTAACACATTATGCGTTTTACAATTAATAAATATACTTGTAATTGAGTATAATCATAATAATATCATCTCTACAGTACTTTGAGTATAATCATAATAATATCATCTCTACAGTACTTTAATGGAAAAAATTTATATAAGATTGCAACCTTAAAATGTAGAACTAAAGATGCACCTCAAAAATCTATCGGAAAATGTTGTTTTAATATTGAAAAACCCTCTAATTGATCACGTCAACAACGAGCTGTATGAATATGAAAATAAAAAGATTTTGAGCCTCAAAAATAATGCATCTTGAAATACATTATCTAGACCATCCATTTTTTAAGATTTTCATATGTTTATAGATCTACTTGATTTTAACCATTTTTTATGTTTAAAATTTTATAATTAAAAATAAAAATAGATTTTCAGATATTCCTAAGAATTCTTTACACCAAAATTACATGTTATGATAAAATTTAGAGGTGCACCTTAATTCGATTGTTTAAAGAAACCACACCCTTACATAATTTGTTACATTAATTTTTATATATTTTAATTTACTCAATTTGCTAATCTTATATATACTATCTAACTACATCTACAATAAGAGAGGCATAATCATATTCCTAATTTAATATACTATCTCACAATATCAATTAACTCATCAGTAATAAAACATTTCAATGAGACCTGTGAATGAGGTGCATCTCACTAGTAGAATTTAAAATTGGTGCTCGATGAGCAAATTTACAAGCACCATAAAATCTTAAAAATTTACAAACATTAAAAAATCTTGAAAATGAATGGTCCAGATAATATATTACAAGATATACTATTTTCAAAACTGGAAATTTTCTTCTTCTGTAACCATATCCATATATCATAACGTTGAGATGATCAATTGGAGGGTCTTTTAACGATAGAAAAATATGTTACAATGATTTTTGAGATGCGCCTTACTCTACGATGTAAGGCCACCTCGAACTTTTTCCTTCTATCAATGCATCCTTTGATTTTCTCCTTTCATCTAACAGCAGCGGTCTTCAATGGTTTCTACTGTATCTCTATCAATATCTCTAGCAATCTTAAATTACACTATATTTCTCTAAACATATATCTTTCATTTTATTTTTTTCCCCTTTTATTTTGATTTAACCAAAAAAAATAACCATCCTTTGTTTTTTAGGTAATTCAATGGGAAAGACAAACCACAACATAGATTAGCGAGTTACCTTTTTTGAAGGTGACCACGACGTAATAGCTAGGTATGGGGGTGCTACCACCACAAACTAGCCCTTACCTAAAAAAAAAAGAACCATCTTTTCCTAAAGCATTTAGAACGATCTCAAAGAGATCCCAAATGACCAAATATCTCAAGGCCTGAATAATGTAAGGCTTAATGCTCTTTTAATAGAACATAAAATCACTTCGTACTTTAATAGACATCCGAAGTCCCACAATTTTTCAGGGCAGCCTCAAGGAGATCAAGAACTACAGCTCTGCCATCAAAAACGAGTAATCACGTAAAGGATCTGACATTCGCCAAATCAAGGGTTTTATTTTGAGGAACCATATCTTATGGGTAGATTCACCTTGAACTAAAAGCATCACAAAACTTAACCCCGGACTCATGCAACATTTCCTATTTCACTGAAGTAACACAAGAAGTTGCTTGACCAGTTTTTAATGGACGGCTAAGGTGCAGCACTCCAGATAAACGTTATGTGTGCAGGATGACTAGCTTTCAACTAGTTTTCTAAAATGACTCGGAATCAAGAAACTTTTGGCCTCAGTTTCGGCTTCCTTGACCTAATGGTTTAGGGCCTGAACACATTTAAGCTATACCCAAAATCAAATTAACCAAAAAAATAAAAAAAGTAAAGAAAACTACAAAGATAAGCAACTTCACTACAAATTTACGGGTGTTCTAATAGGTAGCGGAGATTTTATTTCCTGCTATCCTAAAAGAAAGTATTCAAAAGTTAAAACAAATATAAACACAAATAAACATAATAACAAGTCGCTAAATATGGAAATGAATTCATGCAGCTGCGGTTGCATGCATCTGCAGCCACCTGCTACATCTGATAAAAACTGACATGAAAGATAAGCTGAGACCATGTTGTGTCAGCGCACCTTGCACTATGCATTTCCATCCGACGGCATGGGGGGAGCAAGCAAACATGTCACCGCCAAATTCCCAACCAATAAATATGTAAAACAAGGGATAAGGAAGAACGGATAAGAGTGAACCAGTATATAGAACTAATCCACATTAAAAAGCAACTACAATGGTAAACAGAACAGAAAAATAATAAATCTATACAATGTGTTTGTTAAAGAAATATTTCTAGCATATGAACTAACCATGAAATGGCCCATCTTCAGATCCACTGATTTTCCATGTATAGTAAGAGTACACAGCAGTGACACTAGATTAATGCTGCTAAGGAATTGTGACAAGATGGGTAAGGTACAACCATCAATATACAAGAATTTAATTGTGCTTATCTTTTCCCATTCGTCAGCTAGGAGCCACAGTCATGACCCACAGTGCCATCAATTGTAGTCCATATCAACTCAGCCTGCCACGAAAAGAACATCATGTTTTTCTCACTATAATTATTATGGATTTTTGAGGTACACCTTAATCCTACATTTTAAGGTTGTGACCTCATATAAACTTTTTCCAATTCTTATTGAAATAACAATAGTTGCATGGAAAAGTAAACAATGGGCCAATGGACCATGTAGTATGTACTACTCAATGGCTGCACCACATCTGTTCCCAATGGTTGAAGATTGGACATTAAACTGGAGTGGGGCAGAAAGGACACTCATCAAGGAACAGAAAATCTCCATCATCTGTCAATGGAATGGATGATGGATTTGACTTTGTAGGATAAAACAAAGCTTTAGACCACAGTGTACCCTTTCTCTTTCCTGACTACCATTTAAGGTGGGAAAATGGATACCATAATTTAATGGAGTATGATAAACATTACTCAGTGGCGCATCCACCACACATTCCTGACAAAAGGCAGTAAAGATTAACACTAGTGAGGTCCACCAGGACATACACCCAGGCAAAGTTAATCTTCACCATCCCTCACCAAGAATGGACATTGAATGCCCTTGTATCAAACTCTTTTTGAGTAAAGACACAACAGGATTATGGTATATTAACCTTCCAAAATTTTTATCAGGAGGTTTGTGACTCGAGTGCTTGCCAGTTAACTTCCAAGCTTCACGCCTAAAAACCAATGGACATAGCAGTTCCGGAAAGGGAATGTAGCCCTTGGTAATGGAAATTCATAGTAAAATTGGGCCATCACCATCCAATAAAATGATGGATATGCAGGATAAGGAGTGGTCCTGTTCTTGCAGGTTCTACTCTCCCATCACTGACCATCATATTATCATATATTTTACAGTCCCTTGGAGATAAGAGTGGAGAAGGGAACCTGAATGTTAGAAAGAGGAAGTGCCCACAGACGTGGAAAAACCAGAGGCACGTAATTCTTTGAGAGTTCCAGCTAACCAGTCTAACCCCTCATAAAGGCCATCTCCTCGAATGGCACAAGTGCCTTGAATATGCCATCTCCTGTTCTTCAAATCATAGAGCCCAAGCCCTTCACACACTTCCATTGGTGTCATGGCACCTTTCTGCATGAGAAAGAGGTCAAACAATCAACCAGGCGCCTCTCTCTCTCTCTCTCTCTCTCTCTCTCTCTCTCTCTCGTCGTCGTCGTCGTACGTACGTAGTACGTACGTACGTAACGTAACGTAACGTAACGTAACGTAACGTAAACGTAACTAACGTTAACTTAACGTT